CCCCAGGCTACCTGAGTGCAAGATGGTAGCCTAGATCCCCTTGCTGACCCACATCACTTGGCTTGTGCTTGAGGCTAGTCCATCCAACTGTGCACCATCATGCTGCAGGCCTGACTCTCATGACCGCCACATGGAAGTCATCTACTGCCACATACATGCCCATGGTGAGATCCTGCAGCCATGGGAGTGTGTACCAATAGCCCAGGCCCTCAAAGCTGCTTGTGGGCTGGATATGGCCCTATCTCCAGTCACTGGACTGCATCTCTGGACTCATTTTCAATGATTAAAAGTTCAAAATAGGGAACACAAAACCATATTGTTTAGGGATACAATCAATAGGTAGTTAAACTAAGAATATAAAAGAGACAGAATTTTAATACAAGTCTAGATGGTGCTTATCTCGAGATGGATGGATAAGGAACATGTTTGCTAGGGCTTCTGGGTGTCAATGTTGCATATGTCGACCAAAGTGGGAGTTACAAGGGTATTCGCTTTACAGTTATTTATTAAACTCTGCATACATATTTATGTATATTTGTATGTATGTTGTATTTCACAGTAAAAATAATATTAAAATAAAAAGAAATGATTAAATTGTATTTTGCTATGAATTCTTTGGAAAAGCCAGTGTATTTGTCTTTAATCCAAAAGATTCCTTAAAACTACAATTATCTTCTATGCTGATTCTACCAAAGACACTTAATGTTAAAATTTACACAACATTATATTAGTCAGGAATAATCTTTGTGTTGTAAGAATCTTAAAATCTTAGTGACTCCTAAAAATCTTTACTTCTTGTTCATGTCATATAAATGTGAATGGACAGCACCCAGTATGGACAGTTACTCTGGGATCCAGCCTTCTCCAGTTCAAGGCTCCGCTGTCCCTAAGGGGCTTGGAATCTACCATTGAACTTCTCTGTGCTCAGCTTTCAAACAAGGGAAGAGAGAATACAGAAGATTGTGTGGAAATTTATAGGTGTCTATACATCACTTTGCTCCACATTCCACTGACCAACACTGAGTTACATGGCCATGTCTGAGTGCAAAGGAGGCTGGGAAATAGAGTAAATTGTGCCCAGGAGAAAGAGGGGAACAATTGGTGAACATCTGTCTAGTCTGTGCCACAACTGAACACTATCTCTCACCCTTTTAATTCTGAGGGAAAATATTTTCCATTCTAGAATTCTACACAAACCTATACTGCAAATTAAATTTGATGATGATTAATTGATAGAAGCTTGTAAGGCCTCTAAAATTTTATTCCTGGAAGATATGTTTCATCAGAATGAGGGATTAAACTGAAGTATAGCAATTCATGCAGTCCATAAATCCAATATACATAGAATTAAAAAAACAAAAGAAATAACTAGATGATGGTGAAGGGAAATTTAGGATGATTGTGAGGTATTAGGTTTGGAGAACAACTGATAAAAATTGGAGCTGGAGAATGGAAAGAGAATTCAGGAGGCATTTCTATAGTTAAAATACACACATACTACTATAAATATAAATATAAAGTAGTAGTTGGTTCAAAGATAACTAAGCAAATAAATGAAGAAATTAGCAACTGGAAAATGCATAGAATACAAGAAAGAAAATGTAATCAGTTCATTATATGGCTTAGCTGTGAACATCATTTTCATGGTTGTAATACGTGAACCCCTGAACATGGATTGAACAAAAATGTCATCTATAGCAACATTGAGAAACCGGTGGAAAGAGACACGTGTGTCTGTGTGTATGTGTGTATTGGGGGAAGCTGGAAGAATACTGAATCCTCTTATATGTACGTTAATTAAAATACACAGTTTATTAATTCTGTTATTTATATTTATCTTGTGACTATTATGCAAAATGTTAATTTAAAATTGACCACAGCCTGGAACAGAGCTCAGTTAATACCTTTGGAGCTACTTCACAACCACCATTTACAGCATCTACTTAGACTCTTCCAAAAAAAAAAAAACATAGCGAAGAGCATGAAAAGAAGTTCACACACTCATCATTAATCATTACAGAGAACTGTTGATTTTCCTATGTAGCTCCTTTGTGAAGTTTCATATTGATTCCATCTGTTGTTTCAGCACTTTGTCCCTAAGCCAAACACTGATGAATTTGCTCTTTTTAACACGCTTGTGTGGGAACTTAGGATCACAGCTGATCCTAAACATTGCTTCCAGGAAAGAGACTCCAAATGGGACAAGCAGAGTAATGATTTGTTTGTTTTTAATGCCTTCAAATGGTAGGAGGATACTTAAACTGTGTAAAACCTTGGCCAAATACAGATTTGAAGTGGATTCTTCCTCTAATCTCCGAGTGTGTTAGTGTTTTGAGAAAGGGGTCATAACAATGACAGAAATAGTCTCAAGCTGAACAAGTCAAGCTACCAAATGATAGTAATTGGAGTATCATCCAGTTGAACTGGATTACCCTTTCCTTAAAATTCTTCACCTTAAATGTGGAATATAAAAAGCCAAAAGAATTTATAACAGTATTCTGTGATGTTTTACAAAAATATTTTAAAATACCAACCTCAACATAAAAATATGCTTCTGAAACTTTATTCCCAGATTGAACAAAAGAATAATTTATTGGGTCTTGATTTGAATCCCATACAAATGTATTGGGTAATTCTATCAAAGATGGAAAAAACCCTGAAGTTCTTAGAACTCACAACACATTTTGTTCAGAAAAAATAAGTCATCAGTCATGATTAGTTCATATCACTGCTTTACTGACTTTAAATGATCCAGCATTTTGGTTTTACTTTGCTTAAGGGCGGGGGGAATGTACGTGATTCACTAAATAGAACTGTTGACCAATTTGATACAGTTGTGTGTCAATAAGGATCTTCATAAAGGCTTGAATCACTACCTCTTACAGTGTTTTCACCCAGTGCTAACTTGTTTGAACTGCTCATGACATTAGTCTTATTTCGAATATCATGCTTACATTCAGTAGCTCTTAACGAAATCATATTATTTTCTTCAATAATTCACTCTTGAGTTCTAATTGTTTTAAAAACATAATAATTTCTTTCTCTAAAATAAATTTGAAAAAACACAATTTGCTTTTAGTACTGTGGGCAATTTCCTCATTAATGTGAGACTCAATTGTTTTGAATAACGTATAAAAAACAAACACATACTTGCTGACATTTCAAGATGATAATTTCAATCTGTTATAAATAATGAGTGTATAACGATTTTGCTTTCTGCTTAAGAGCACACTCATATTCTCAGTGGGAATCCTAAATGATACTGATGTTTTGCAAGTTCAATTTAATCCCCGACCATAGGATTTAGAAATGATGACTGATATGTCGTATTAACAAAGATCAATGGCTATGAGTTATAGCTGCTGAAATCAGACTTCTGAAGCAATTATTCCTCTGAAAAATTGTATGCACTAAAATCTCAGGCAGAAAATAACTAGTCTGCATGAAAGAGAGTTTGGGAATTAAAAACCACCTGAGAATACGCTGAATTTCCAAAAATAAAGTGGAAGCTTGAATATTCTTAGGGAAAAAAAGTTATAAGAATGGAAAGGACAGAAACAAATAAAAAATAAAATATGGGAAAAACAGACACGTGTGGTTGATTTCACAAATTAATTTAGGTAAGATTATGGTTTGCGGAGAATAATTGATTTGCAGTGTCAGAACAGTATTTGGTAGGTGCTTAATAAATGTTCGTTGAATAAATAAAAGACAGTAGTACTACAGTGATGATTTACATGAATTCAGCAGAAAATCAGCTAAAAGAGATATCGAGTTCTCCAGATGTCATAAGATCTATAACCTGTCCATCTATGAAGCAAGATTTTGTAGTTGATTAATTTACCTACAGCATAAAGACTGACGTTTGTTTTTAACCCTGTGTTGAATGAGCCCTGTTGCCTGGTGTCCAGGTGTGTTTCACGTTGATCAATAGTGAGGTCCAATAGTAGCAGTGTCTCTTTGTCTACAATTTTCTGAAACAGTGAAATGCCTTGTAATTATAAATCATATTAAGCCAGTTTCATCCAAAATAAATCCTGGAGGAAAATTTGTCACCCTCATAATGTGCATTTATATTTACATAAAATGTAATTAAGACATTACTCAAGACAATTAAATGCAAACAAATTTCAAACTTCTATAAAATTAACTTGATAAATGGAGATTTTTACATTTTCAGATGAATTGATTTAATATTGCTCATTATATGTACATTACAAAACATTTATCAAGTGCTTTTCTCCTGGGATTAAAAGGTGATTGAGGCAGAGTCCCTGGGTTTAAAGTGAAGAAAGCACAGAAACAAGTGGATGAAAGAAGGAATGAAAGCTCTCCATCAGAAAGACACGCCATGAAAATCAGAGAGGCTATAATTCATTCTGTTTGGAAGAAACTAGGAAAACTTCCCAGAGCAGATGGTGAAGAATAAGTAAAAGGTTGACGGGTAGACAGGGAAATAGGGATTCAGACAAAAAGAACAACATGCGCAGTGGCTTAGAATTGTGATCGTGAAGTTAGAGTGGTTTTGTGTCCTGGGAGGACGGAACATTGATGACAGTAATAAGCTATACGTCTAATAAGAGAGATGGAAATCAAAACAGGAAGGGCTTTATAACCATTTTAAGGAATTTGCACTTGCCTGCTATGTATAGACGGGGAATCAATGAAGACTTTTGAGGGAAATGAGTTACACAACTAGATTCATAGATTGAAATAGTATTTAGGAGTCTGGACTGGAGGAGGAAGAGAATGAAAGCAGGAAAATCAGTAAGAAGCTATTGACATCACCAAGTAAGAGATGATGGAAGCCCAGAATTAGGAGAATATCAAGGGACTGCAAAGAGGGATCGCATTTGAAAGATATTTTAATTAAAATAAAGAGGATTTGGTGACTGATTTGTAGAGACTAAAGGGAAGAGAGAGTGAAGGGTGGCTTCATGTTTCAGGAAGGGTAGTGTATGGTTAACTTTTACTGAGTAACAAAGCTCACCAAAATAAAATGACTTAAAACAACAATAATTTATCATTGCTCATGAATATCTTGGTCATCTGGACATTTCTGCTGAATGTGCCAAACTCAGCTGATTTGGGCTGGGCTTGCTCGTGTGTCTGCAGTCAGTTGCTGCATCAGTTGGGGACTGGCTGAGTGAGGTGCCAGTCTCTGCTCCCCGTGGTTTCTTATCCTTCAGCGGGCTTGTCTGGAGGCTGGGCAGTGCTGGAAAACAATGAACAGAAGCGCCCAAGGACTGTGAGCCTTAGGCTCAGCACCAGCACACAGTCACGGTGTGTTAGTCAGAGCAAGTCAAGAGGCCAAAAAACAAACACAAACGGACAGAAAGCACGTCAAAAGGTGCGGATAGAGTACACTTTTTGATAGAAGGAGATACAAAGTCAGATCGCCCAGGATTATTGATTTAGGGAGGAGAAAAATCGCACCCATTTTTGCAAACAATCTACTACAGATAATAATTCATCAACAGAAAGGGAAAGTACAGAAGATAGGTTAGATTTGAAAGGAAAGATAAACTCTTTGAACACATTGAGTTTAGACTACCTAAACATCTAGAAATATTCAGTGAGAAATTAAATTCAGGGAAGTGAAGTGACTTGCACAATATTATATAACTGCTTTGAGACGATTAGACCTAGAACACAGAACTCAGTCCGCATCCCAATATTCTTCCCACTACTCTATTTGTTTATTTAGAAGACACTCCAGGAGGGTCAAATGATCAAGAGTCATTAATTCATTTGATACATTATTTCTTGATTTTCTCTCTCCTCTCCTTTCCTCTTCTCTTCCCTCTCCTTCCTCCTCCTCTTTCTTCTCTTCTTTCTTTCCAATATTTATTGAACCTCTAATATGTGCTAGATGCTATAGACGTGAACAAAAGAATTGGATTTTACCTTATTTCAAATCGGTTAGTTCAAATTAGATCACAGCGTCCTTAGACAGAATACTCACCACCCTCCTCACTTAGGGAGAGATTTATCTGTTTTGAGCTTCAAGTCGGTGATAATGTAGTCAACCAACTTTATTCACCCTTTGGCAAATAAATTACTACCACAGTGCAGACTGAATATAATTAATTGCAAACTGCCTTCTGTAACTCAATTAAACATTCTGCTCCTGAAGCAGGAATTTGAATCTTTTGTGTGGCTGCTAACTACAGTATATGAAATCTATCTTTAAGTTGGCTCATAATAAGTAATTGAGCAGAAGAGTGCTGTTGTTTACCACTATCACAATAGTTTTAACGTAGATATGTTTAATATCTCAACTAAAATGGGTTTTACAAATGTAATGCTTTGTTGGGTGAAAGTATGACCTTTTTTAAAAAAAAAGATCATCTTGTCCAGCAAAAACAAAATGAACACAAGCTAATTAAATTTGAAAAACTCTTTTTAAATATGTGTAATGCTTAGTTAAGAAATGAAACCGCAACTCACTGCTAGCTGAGAAATTGATTCATTTACTTGCAGGTGTATACTAGGGTGTCAGTCTTGAGTGCATGATTCATGGGGATGGAATGACAGATTTCCTTCTGTCGAATATTATTGTCTAAGGAAAAGTGTTTATAAAGAGAAGAGAATCTTGGCTCTCTTACCAGTATTAAAGAGCTGTACCCTCAAGGTCAGCTGAAGTTATTGCAGTTTCTGCATTTATCCTGTATACATGCAAGTTCTTTCTAGATTCCTACATTGTTGGTGATCTTGTTATTTATAAATACCTATTCCAAATATGCTTTAAATATTTCAATTAAACATTTCAATTTAAATGCTTACATTTAAATATTTAAACTTAAATGTTTAATATTTAGATATTTAAAATTAAAGGAGAATACAAAAGTTCCAAGTAACAATTTCACTTTCATTCCTTAGTGCTGATCAAATAAAAACACTGACCCAAAAGAAAACAATTAAATGAGAAAGGAGGTGAGCATTGTTTAAATGTGAATTACAAATTCTGTATAGTATTTATATTTTTTATACTTCTTGCTTAGCATATATAATTGAGAACCACTATATTTACCCTAAAAGGCAGAGAAGCATCTATTCCTCTTAATATGTTTTGGTCTGTGTTGTCCTTTTAGACAACATGTCTAAGCATGTTAATATATATATGGAATCTTCTGCACAGAATATATTCATTTTTATGACTTTCAACCTGTTCTTTTAATAAACTAATCAAAACTTTTGGCATCTCTTACTGTCTTGATGCACGTCTTTTCCTCAACCAGAGCTGCATAAGTTTGCCCCTGTCACAAGCAGAGTGAGCAGACCATCAATAACGCCCGTCCGACGCTGGAAGGCAGTATCATAGTTAAAACTCTGCTGTGCAGTCAACATTTCAGCTGTTACTCAATTTCCTGGAAGGATTTTAATTAGTTTAGTCCCTGGTGAGTTTCCATTTGCTGTTACTCGCATGAGGTAAACTATATTACAGTTGGAGAAAAGAGTAGTGGATAAATGATTTGCAAGTATATAACCAAAAATGTTCAAATCAGAATTAGCCGGAATGAGGGAAGAGAAAAACAAAGTGGAGAAGGAGAAGCAAAAGGAAGAGGAGGAAGAGCAAGAGCAAGAGAAGGAGAAGAACCGAAGGGGGAGAAGTGTTAGGACATTTCAGAAGCTGCTCATTATGTTTCTAGCCTCTGGCTGCACAACCCGTAGGACGGGGATAGGTTGTGGGAGGGAATCTTCCTGGGAGGTCCAAGAAGGCTACAAGAACCTACAAAACACTTCTAGGACGCTTTGAGTTACAGCAGGAAATGTCCACATTTTCACTTTATGATTCATCCATTTGACATCATGGATATTTTGAAATTCCAAACTAAAAGGGTGTTATTGCTTTATTATTTGAGATTATTAAATTCTTCTATAACACAGTTGCAAGAAACAAATTAGAACAGATAGAACTGAGCAGCTTGTGAGAATCGTTAGACGTAGAAAAAGCAAGTTCAGCCTAAGTGTGCTGAACGTAGACAGGAAGGGAGAAAAGGACCCAGTAGGCACTAAACAGGCACAGGACAGTAAATATTCATCAGTCTTTGGGGGCAGACATTCTGGCCCCATATATGTCCTACCTGAGAGATGCAGACAAAAACCACAGCTTCTCAGCAAGTTGTCAATGAGCTACCGGCCAGGAACCCTTGAGCCCGTGCCTCTCTGCTGGAGAAAGTGAGCACTGGCTTCAGCTCTCCCTGTCAGCCCTACACTCTGGTCCTTGAAACCACACCCCCAGCAGGGAAGGCTGATATGGCAGACAAAAGAAAGGACGCGTGAATGTTGGCTAACACTAGATCCACGGAGTCTTTCCATTCTGCTAGCTCCTTTACTGAGGCTGTGACCCTACTCCCTCTCTTTCCCCTTGAATTTGCTGTATGATTTAACAAAACATATGACTTGAGCATTTTACTTTGGTCTGAGGACATTTCTGTTCCATGACCTCAGGGATAATTTGCTTATGGTACATTTGGAGGCCGCTAGGACTTCAAGAACATATCCCACCACACAAGACGTAATTGAGTCCACCTGGTGATGTTTCCGGATCAGGGAAAAAATACCAAGTGGTTTTTCACTTTCAAATTAGATTTTTTTAGCAAAAGAAGTTCAACCACAACCCAGTGAGCTGTTGCCGGCCAGTGACGCCAGTAGTTTCTCTTTGGTTTGAGTCAATTATCACCAAAATGTCTCAATTATATTCTTAGCTCTTTGAGGGTCAAATTGTTTGCCATCTTCATACATTTGTCACAGCAAAAGTCTCATCAAAATTTTACGACCCTAAAGCACTTTCCCCTCCTTTTGTAATGTAGTGCTCTCCCAGATGCTCTATTATTTTGTAGTTCCATGTGTAGCATAATAAGTCATGGAGCACACAGTGCTATATGCTAAACGCTGATATCCCCAGAGAGGAAAATAGAAATCGGCATTTCCCTCCCAACCGCTCCAACTCCCCCTGCTCCCAGTACGACGGCTTATAGATGTATACGAAATTTTTCCTCATTGTGTGTAAGGTTTTTAGTAAGTCTGACATGTACAAGCAAGAATTGCTGGAACACTAGGTCATGTATGAATAATGAGAGAAAAGCCAAGTTTCCAGCTAAATCAGACAATTCCATTACTCAACTAATTTTCAGGCAGTAAAATTTGTGTTTAGAATGCTAACATAGTGGAGATATGTTGCTCCAGACTACTGAAAATAACACACACAAGACAAATACTTTACGTCTTCAACTGATGTGTTTGATTAAGTGATTAGGCGGAAATAAATTCAACTGTCAAGTGGACACGTTTTGTTTTTAAATAGAATCTTTATGAGGAAACTAGGGCTTAGAATAGATAAAAGATTCAGTCCTGTATACTTGACTTCCGTTAGTCTCCTACAATTAAACCTTGAGAACTTGATCAAAAATCTCAAGCAGAGACATGAGACACCTGAATATCTTTGACCCCAACACAGTCCTCCTCTACCTTTGAATGTTGTTTTTCTTTCCTAAGCTCTTAAGAAGAAAGGATGGACCTAAAACAGCCAAGAGATGGAAGAGGCCTCTACCACAGCCAAGCACAGCAGCAAATCTCCACCTGCACTCAATGAGGTGGCAGTTACGGCTAGGTGGCCCTTAGGTTTCAAATATTCAGTAAGTTAATTTCTTTGGTCTATATGTTACTTACCATGGAAATATTTCCAGTATAGCAAACCTTTTATAAATCTTAGTATTACATGACAATATGGTCACAGGTTCTATAGTTCCTTATGTTACATTAGACTTTTTATATGCACGTGAAAATTTGGCGGTATAAAAATAAAGATCTTGAGGGCCCAGCCCCATGGCTGAGTGGTTAAAGTTCTGTGCCCTTCCACTTTGGTAGCCTGGGTTTGCAGGTTCAGATCCCAGATGTGGACCTACTCCCTTCACCAGCCACACTGTGGAGGTGTCCCACACACAAAAAAATAGAGGAAGATTGGCACAGGTGTTGGCTTGGGGCTAATCTTCGTCAAGCAAAAAAAAAAAAGACGAGGATTGGCAAAGAATGTTAGCTCAGGGCGAATCTTCCTCACAAAAAAATAAAAGTAAATAAATAAAAATCTTGAGCTGTATGATGATACTACAGCTATACATGAATGACTTTTAAAAAAATATTCTGTTCCATGTTTTCACACCACGTACGTATAATCTTAGCGTTACTAATGAACAAATTATTTAAACTGTGAAATGCGCAGTCAAATGGGACAAATCTCCCCCAACAAACATACATCTTTTAAAAGAAATTTTTCTTCCTGTTACTTGAGAAAAAGGAAAAGGAAAATGAATGAAACCTACTGATTTTCTAGTATATACAATAACCACTTCTATGTCCATCATTTAATCCTAGGCATTTCAGAATGTCTCCTTCTCTCCCTCTGCCTCGGCAGCTCCTTGCCAATGTACACTGTACTGGGACACCATAAACTGAATATTTCTACCACAGGCAGATTTAGTCATCATTTTCAAGCTCTGGAAAAACTTAGCTAACACTCAACTAGGGCTCTGATGAAGTGACAGGTGACTTGGTAATGATGACATCATACCTAAGCACACCAAACATCTTTGTTTTGTTTTGTTTAGGAGAACTACACAAAGCCAATGTCTCAAGAGTAGAACATGGATGTCAATTGGGTTGATGAAATGAGAATTGCATCATTTACAATTTAATGCCCTCGTTAAAGGGCTAAATTAAATGTAAAGTTAGAAGGAAAAAGAAAACAAATGGTAATCCCATAAAAATGAAATAATCTACCAATTATAAAATAAAATAGATTAAAATCTAAGATTTATGGGACAAGTGTTTTCCTTCCATTGATGGGTGATGAAATAGAACTTTATTTAAAACACTGGAGATTGGTTTGGTTAACCAATTAAATAATCAACAGCTATTTATTGAATGCCTGCTATAAATTTAAAATAGCTCAATTTTCTGAAGTACCTATAAGCTTCTCAACTCTTATATAAATAAGTAGTATGATTTTTAAAGACAATCTTTAGTTCTAATTATCTGAAGTCTCATGTATACCTTTAATTCTTGGGAAAAAAACGATGAAAACACTATTTACAGATTAACTTTCCCTTTATTAAAAGTATGCATGACTACAATGAACATAGAAAAATCCAAAAATCCATGGAGACAATACACTGATTCAATTCTAAACAGAATTACATTTATTTTGGATATTATAGAGAAATTCAAGTAATCTAAGCATTATTCACTAAGATTCCTTATCAATTGATGTGTGACTCATAATTACTGTCAATGAACCAAGGTAAACCTTTATTCTAAAATTCATTCCAAAACATATTGCTAAAAGTATATCCCTTTGCAAATGAATTAAGGATGAATCTGGGACTCAGAGATGTAAACATAGTCACTTAATTACTTTATCCATCTTACAGAAGGTCATTACACAAACGGTTCATTCACTGTCCATCATTGTTTACAAAATCAAAATCGGAATCCTTTTTCTGGCATCCAAAGACTACCACAATTTGTCATAAAATTCCTAAACTTATTTTTCACTATTTCACTTTAGGCATCCTGTGCTAAAGCAAATCTCAAAAAGCAAGTAGCCTTTTCTTATAAGTTTTCTTTTAAGATACTTTATTTTTGAGAGCAGTTTTAGGTTCACAGTAAAATTGAGCATAAGGTACAGTGTTCTCTCATATAACCTCTGTCATCACATACACATGGGCTCCTCCATTGTGAAGATAATGCACCAGCGTGGTGGATTTGTAACAATTGATGGCCTACACTGACACATCATTATCACCCCAACTCCAGAGTTTACATAAGGCTTCAGTCTTGGTGTTGTACATTCTATTGCATTTTTTTTCCTTAAAGATTGGCACCTGAGCTAACATCTGTTGCCAATCTTCTTTTTTCTCTTCTTCTTCTCCCCAAAGCCCCCGACTACATAGTTGTATATTCTAGTTTTGAGTGCCTCTGGTTGTGCTATATGGGATGCTGCCTCAGCATGGCCTGATGAGTAGCGCTACGTCTGCACCCAGGATCTGAACCCATGAAACCCTGGGCCAGCGAAGTGGAGCACATGAACTTAACCACTCCACCACAGGACCAGCCCCCTTTCTATTGGTTTTGACAAATGTTATCATGACATGTATCCACACAGAGTAGTTTCACTGCCCTACAAACCCTCTGTTTGTGTTCATCCCTCCCTGCCCCTCGATCTCTGCAGCCACTGATCTTTTCCACCTCCATGGCTTAACCTTTTCCAGAATGTCATGATGGGAATCACACAGCATGTGGTCTTTTCAGATTGGCTTCTGTCACTTAGTAACATGCGTTTAAGGCTCCTCATGTCTTTTCACATCTTGATAGCTCATTTCCTTTTAGTGCTGAATAATATTCCACTGTCTGGATGAACTACAATGTATTTATCCATTCACTTACTGAAGGGCATCGAGGCTGCTTCTAAGTTTTAGCTATTATGAATAAAGCTACCATAAACATTTGTGTGCAGGGGTATGTCTGGACTAATGTTTTCATCTCCTTTGGACAAACACCAAGGAGTGTTAATGCTCGATCCTATATTAAGAGTGTGTTTAGTTTGCAGGAAACTACCAAAGTGTCTTCCACAGTGGCTGTACCATTTTGCATTCCCACCATCAGTGAATGAGAGTTCCTGTGGCTTCACATCCCCGTCAGCATTTGATGCTGTCATTGTTCTGGACTTTGGCCATTCTAATAGGGGTATAGTGGTATCTCGTTGTTTTAGTTTGAAATTCCCTAGTGACATATGATGTGGAGCCTATTTTTATAAGCTTATTTGCTATCTGTGCATCTTCTTTGGTAAGATGTCTGTTCAGGCCTTTTGCCCATTTTCTAATTTGGTTGTTTGTTTCTTTATGGTTGAGTTTTAAGAGATCTTTATATATTTTGGATGAGTCTTTTATAAAGTATTCCTTTTACAAACACTTTCTCTCAGTCTGTTGTTTGTTTTCTCATTGTATTGATAGTATCTTTTGCAGAGCAGAAGTTTTTAATTTTAATGAAGTTTGTATAATTTATTTATTTTTTCATAGTTCATGCCTTCAGTATTGTGTCTAAAAGTTCATTGTCATACCCAAAGTCATCTGGGCTTTTCCGATGTTTTCTTTTTTTTAATCATTTTTTTCCTTCTTCTTCTTCTCCCCAAAGCCCCCCAGTACTAGTTGTACATTCTAGTTGTAGGTCCTTCTGGTTGTGCCATGTGGGATGCTGCCTCAGCTTGGCTTGATGAGCAGTGCCGTGTCAGCATCCAGGATCTGAACTGATGAAACCCTGGGCCGCTAAAGTGGAATGTATGAACTTAACCACTCAGCCACAGGGCCGTCTCCATTTCTTATGTTTTCTTCAAGGGGTTTCATAGTTTTGCTT